AAATAGTTTGAACCTATCTCGAAAAACCCGAACACAAAACAGGGCTAGGGGCATGGCTCAAGTGGTATAGTGCCTGCCTAGCAAGCACGAGGCCCTGAGTTCAAACCCCAGGACTGAAAAAAAAAAAAAAAGTGAGGTGAGGAAATGGAAAAGATCTACTCTGTAGACAGCACCTCAAATCCCAGATCTAACTCTTCTTAGTTATGTGACCTTGGACAAGTCACTTCATTTCTCTGTGTCTTAGTTCCTTATAAAATGGAACTAACAGTATCTCCTTCATTGAGTTGTTTTGAGAATTGTGTGTGAGAGCAAGTACCATATTTAAAGTGTCTGGTGTATCACAGATACTCAATAAATGTCACCGTTGTCATTAGTATCATCATCAGCTTAGACCCAAAGGCAAAGAGAGTGGCTGGAAGAGTGGCTTAAGTGGTAGAGCACCTGCCTAGCAAGTGTGAGGCCCTGAGTTCAAACCTCAGTACCATCAAAATAAATAAATAAATAAATCAAAGTCAAAGAGGTAAGGCCATAAGTTGGATCCTAAACTTGGATCCAAAGGTCCATGTGGTAAAGGCTTGGTCTCTACCATGGCACTGTTGGGAGATGATGGAACCTTTAAAAGGTGGCACCAAGCGGGAGAGGTTTAGGTCATAGGGGCCATGCCCTGGAAAGGGACCATTGCCCTTTCCTCTTCTTTTCCTTTGCTTCCCAGCCATGAGGTGAGAGTTTTTGGTCCATCACTTTCTACCATGATGTGCTGCCATGCCACAGGTCCAAAGCAGCAGGACCAATCAGTCACAGATTGAAACCAAAATTAACCAAACTTGAACCAAAATAAAACTAACTTGATTTATCTCAGGTATTTGTTATACTGTAAGAACATTGACCAAAGAAGATTCTTGGTGGATTTTTTAAGCAGTTAGAAAAAAAAATGACTTACAATGTTATGTACCTTTTTTTTTTTTCTTTTGAGACGGGGTCTCACCATCTAGTCCAAGTTGGCCTTAAACTCATAATCGTCCTGCTTCAGCCTTTCTCCCATGTGCGGGGATTGCAAGCATGCCCAGCTCTCTGTTATGTATGTTGGTTCCCATTTTTACACTATCCAGTTCTTGGCAGTGTTTTTTAATTTGTTAGTTTAGTTTTTACTTTAACAAGGTTATAAAGCCACATATACAGCCTAAGTGCTACGAGACACGTTGTCCCCCACCAACTCCCCATTTCCCTGGCTAACGGGTATCTCCCTCCTCCTGCCTCCCCTCCTTCTGGTGGTATCCCTTTAGCACATTAGAGGGCGGGGGGCCTGGTTGGCACAGTCTACACACACTGTGTAGAGTGGATGAAAGTGGCCAGCAGAATAGCAAGCCCAGACTTTTCAATTTCCACAGGCACTTTTTAGTTCCCCCGTCTCCTCCTCCTCCTCCCCTCCTCCTCCTCCCCTCCTCCTCCTCCCTCCCCTCCTCCTCTCCTCCTCCTCCTCCCCTCCTCCTCCTCCCTTTCTCTCCTCCTCTCCTCCTCTCCTCCTCCTCCTCCTCCTCCTCCTCCTCCCTCCTCCTCCCCCTTTCTCTCCTCCTCCTCCTCTCCTCCCCTCCTCCTCCTCCCCTCCTCCTCCTCCCTCCTCCTCCTCCCCCTTTCTCCTCCTCCTCTCCTCCTCCCCCCCTCCTCCTCCCCCTCCTCCTCCTCCCCCTTTCTCTCCTCCTCTCCTCCTCTCCTCCCCTCCTCCTCCTCCCCTCCTCCTCCCCTCCTCCTCCTCCCCCCTTCTCTCCTCCTCTCCTCCTCTCCTCCCCTCCTCCTCCTCGTCTCCTCCTCTCCTTCTCCTTCTCTTCTCCTCCTTCTTCTTTTCTTCTTTCTTCTTCTTCTTTTATAGCATCCTATTCCTGTATGGCAGGTGCAATTTCTTTTTTTAATCTCTGAGAATTTTTCTTGAACAAAACAGAGACTCTGTTTTGTTCAAGTTGCTTTTTTCCTATTTATTTTGGTCCCTGCCTTCCCTGATCCAAGACTTTTTGTGTACTTGTTCATCTTTAACCAAGGCACCAAACGAAGGCCAGAAGCTTTGTGTGCATGGGGGGTGTTTATCATCCTGGGTTTTCACTCTAGCGTGAGCCAGCTGGGCATCTCGTACGGGTTCTCCATGTCCATCTCAGGAGAGCTTTTCTTTGAGGCTGGTTGGACTGCTTAGGAACTGTTCCCCCCAAGTTCTCCATGAATGCATGCCTGGTTCCGGCATTGTGAGGAGCCAGATTAGGGGAGGAGGCTCAGACCAGGTGGTCTTTCAACATTCCACCGAGGTTCAGAGATGCGTCTGTTTTACCTGTCGTGGATCACACCCCAGCCTTCTGCATGAGTCAGGTCTAACTCTTGCTTGCTAAAACAGTTTTCAGTCAATCCTCCTACCTTTTCTGCCTCCTCCATTCTATTTCAGGACCAATTTAAGATTCCGCTCTTGGCTTTTAGCATGAAGAGCGTAAGGTTCAGATTTCTTCAGTATGCTAAATTAGTTGTCACCTGTCTTTCTCTGGTCACTTATTTTTGTCTCTTTCTGACTGTCTTTGCCCTTGTGAGATAATGCCTTGGCTTTTTTTTCAACTTAAGAAGGTTTGGAGGAGGGAGTAGAGGCTAATAATACATGTTCTCAGCCTCCCATCTTCAACTAGAAGTTTGTGTATAATTTTATATTTTTAAGTAAAAATAACCAGTTTTTCCAGTTTTGTTTCTTAATATCTTTTTGATGGCTCTGGGGTTTGAACTCAGGGCCTCACACTTGCTGGACAGGAGCTCTACCACTTGAGCCGTGAAGATACCAGCGTTGTTTCTTAAGTCCTGATTTTACATCCCCTGCTCAGCACATTCCTAAAGGGCCCTGACATTAGTTTATCTCCACACCTTTTGTGTGTGGTGCTGGGATTTGAACTCAGAACTTCATGCTTGCTAAGCTGGTACTCTATGGCTTGAGTTATGCTTATAGTCCTTCTTGGTCTGGTTATTTTGGAGACAGGATCTCACTTTTTGCCCAGACTAGCCTGGACCGCAATCCTCATATTTTATGCTCCTTACTGTCACTGGGGTAAAAGGAGTATGGCACCGCACCCAGCCCCTTTCCATTGAGATAGGGTCTCACAAACGTTTTTGCTTGGGCTGGCCTGAAACCAAGATCCTCCCAATCTCAGCCTCCCATGTAGCTTGGATGACAGGTATGTGCCACCATCCCAGCTATTGATTGAGATGGGGTCTTGAGGACTTTTTCATAGAACTTTTTTGGTGGTTCTAGGGTTTGAACTCAGAGCCTCACACTTGCTAGGCAGGCACTCTACCGCTTGAGCCACTTGGCCAGCCCTTCTCATGGACTTTTTGCCTGGACTGTCAGTGAACCACAGTCATCCTAAGCTCACCTTCACAAGTAGCTGGGATTATAGCAGTAAGCCACTGGTGGCAGCTGACTTATCTTCACCTCTTCATTCCAGAGAGCATTGTTGATGCCTTCAGCAATTCCTGAAACCAAAAGGTTTTGGGAGGGAAGCAACAATAAAAAATTCTGGGTTTTTCTTGGTTGTTGTTTTCCTTGTAATTTGTTGATTTTTTTTTTGGTTGTTATTGAATTTATCAGTAAAACCAACCTGACTGGTCTTAATACAAGTTCATTTTGTTCACTGAGGCAGCTACAGGTTAACTCCCTGTCACATTCACCACTAGAGTTGGTCCCATCTTCAAGCCTTGATCTCAGTTTTGGGTGAAAATTCATCAATCAGACCCCATTGTGCTACAGCAGTGACCACACTTTCTTAAGAAAATCAAAACCATTTAACCAAGCGGTATTGATTAAATTGATAAGCTTGTTTGTTTTCTCTAATTTTTCTCTTTGTATTCATTCATTATCCCTCTCTTATTCTTATGTGAATTATCTTTGCTTCCTAAGACTAGACCCCTAAAATATACACACAACAGCAAAGAGGACAGTGCAGACAAAAGCCAGGAAATATGAGAGGAGGACATTGTTGGAAAGCAGTATTCATTTTAGGTTGAGGACAAGGAGGCTTTAGAGTCACATGGGCCTGGTTTGAAGGCCCCTCCAGCCCTTGCTCTGTAGTGACCTGGAGCTCACTTCCCTCCTGTGCTTAATTTTCCTGTCTATGAAGTGAGGGAAATGCCAGCTATCTTGTAGGGTTGTGGTGAGATTAAGCAGCTTGTGCTAAACTCTAGATAAACATTAGATCCTGGGCTGGGGGCGTGGCTCAAGCGGTAGAGCTCCTGCCTAGCAAGTTCAAGGTCCTGAGTTCAAATACCAGTACCACAAAAAACAAAGTTACTGCTGTTACTGACATAGCTGGAATAAAAACTGTAATAGTAGTTCATCTTAAAGTCCATACTTGTCCTCAATCAGTATTTGTATGTTTCTTTTTTCTTTTTTGGTGGAATTGATATTTGAACTCAATGCTTCATGCTTATAAAGCAGGTGCTCTGTCACTTGAGCCACACCTCTAGTCCATTTTGCTCTGGTTATTTTGGAGTTGGGCATCTCACAAACTGTTTTCTCAGGCTGGCCTCAAATCATGATCCTCCTAATCTCAGCCTCCCAAGTAACTCATGTGTACATTTCAGTGTCTTGCAGTATAGTGCATAAATATAGGCCCTACAAGATTAGGAATTCCGTCCTGCCCATCTTTGTATTTTAAACACCTAGCATGTACCCCACACATGGAATAAACGTGCCTTGTGTATTGAATGAATTGTGAAGCCTCAATTTATACTGATTGTATAAATGAAGAATTGATAAGTAAATTTACCTTTTTCCATTTCTTGTAGATAATTAATACCTTCTAGAGGCTTTCAGATCATTGTTAGAATTTATTTTCTTCCCTTTCCACCGTTTACAAACACTGACTTTTAATATATCACTTTGCATTAAATACTTGAGTGAAATTGTGTGTGTGTGTGCAAGCACACACTTTTAACATGTCACCAGTAATAACTAATTGGCCTTTTTTTTTTTTCCCATTCAGGGAGGTGGTGCAAGCCAACTGTGTCCACTGGAGAAAGAAGTTCTCGTTCATGTGCAAGATGAGTGCCAATGCCATTACAGGCATCCTAGACCCTTGTGTCTACAGAGTGTCTGTAAGGAAGGTACAAAACTAGCCTATTGTGTCTCCCCTTGCAGAAGCCAGATTTAGCTGCACTGTCACTGACTGGCTTTATTTAGCACCGCTCCATCGTTAGCACTGTTGTATGAAATTTCACTTCACACTTACAGCAGGCTTTAGATTCCCGGGGCAACTATGATGAAGAGCCTAAAGTTAGGAGTTAAAAGAGAGGGCCTCCAACCTACTGTCACTGAGCAGATGAGTATAGAGCTTCCTGGTATTAGCTTGGGAACTGTACATGTCTGTTACCACGTACTGGATTCCTGTTCCTTGCTAGGCATTGTTCTGGGGACTTTATTACATTATGTCTAGTAGTAATCCTGAAATGAAGTTTTATTTTCTTTATTTTCAAGAAAGCCAAGGCTCAGAGAAATGAAGATACTTTCCTAAGTTTACTTTGTTCATATTAATACATGGTAAAGGAGGTTGGCTCCTAACTACTCAAGAGGCAAAGATCAGGAGGATCGCTGTTCGAAGCCAGCCTGGGCAAATAGTTCAAGAAACACTATCTCAAAAAAATGCATCACAAAACAGGGATGGCAGAGTGGCTCAAGTGGTAGAGCACCTGCCCAGAAAGTGTGAGGCCCTGAGTTCAAACCCCAGTATCACCAAGTAAATAAGAAGTAAAGGGTCAAATACAGTTTTTTCTGATTACAAGTCCTTGTTTTGTTTTTTATATATTTCCTTTCCACATACTAGATTGAAGCATATTATAAATAATCTACAAAAGTGTCAAATTTCATGTGGTTTAATTTACTTCACACACACACACACAAAATCTTGCCTTCTGGGGGTAAAAAGGAGGAATCCAGCAATCACCACTCCTACTGCATTACACTACTGGCTTTAAAATGTAAACTTTGTACCTGATGTGGTGGTACCTGTAGTCTCAGAATCAGAAGGCCAGCCTGGGCTACATCAAGAGACCCTTCAAAATAAAAGTGGAGTGGGGAGAAAAGAAAAGTAAACTTTATGTTTTACATTTTTAATTACAAAAGTAACATGTTATACACAGGCAAAAATTAAATCGAGGAGAAGGATTTTGAATAAAAAGCAAGGGTCCCTTGTCTTGCTTTCCCTGTATCAGATAAAAAGCTGTAGTTTGTAGCTTTCTTATCCCACTTCTCTTTTTTGTTTCATTTTGTTTTTTTGAGACAGGATTTCTCAGAGTAGCCTGGGCTGGCTTCAAACTCACAATCCTGCCTCAGCCTCCTGAATGTTATGATTACAGGTGTTCACTACCATGCCTGGCTCTTGTTCCACTTTTTAAATGAGTTGATAACCCTATGATGTGCATGGCTGTATTACCTAAGTTCTTTTCTATTTTAAAAATTAAAATATTTTGTTGGGCACCAGTGGCTCATGCCTGTAATCCTGGTGACTCAAGAGGCAGAGAACAGGAGGGTGGCGGTTCAAAGCCAGCCCAGGCAAATAGTTGGAGGGACCCTATCTCAAAAAAACCCACCACCAAACAGGACCAGTGGGGTGGCTCAAGTGGTAGAGTGCCTGTTCAGCAAGTGTGAGGCTATATAGGTATTGAGGCTCTGAGTTCAAACCCTAGTACCACCCCCCAAAAAATTAAAATATATCAAATGCATAGGCACATAAAATGATTTTTATAAGTTTTAAATAGACCTCGAAAATAGATATATTTGAAGCAGCAGTAATTGACTGAAGGCTTCCCTGAAGAAACTATAGTATAGTGAAAGTGTATGCGTATGCATATACATACTTCCATACACACATACATACACTTTCACGTATGTGCTTTCATGGATGTGTGTACCAACCTGGGTTTGAGTCCCAGATATACCACTTACTGAGGCCTTAAACAATTCTCCTGACACTTTGAATGTGTCTGCTCATACAAACAAGGAAATACTACTTGCTTCTTCCTGGTGGTACATGGATTAGGTGACAGAAGTAAAGCCTCCCACCTTCTTCCTTTTCTGCCATGACACTGATGCTCTCCCACTGAAACTTTTTCTCAGTGGAGTTGTAATCATGATTCTTAGAAGATAACTTTTCGTTCTTTCAATTTTAAGAAAATCAAAACATATAACCAGCTTGAAGTAAAGCATAACTGGAAATTAAAGAACTCCAAGTCTGTTTAAAAAAGATAACAACCAAGAAGTAATATTGCCATTTAAGGTAGGACATGTCCCCTGAAATAAGCAGTTCTTCAGATTGTGAGGGTTAGAATGTAAGTGACAAGATGCTGACACAGGCCCTCACGGGCAAGTCTTCAAGAGACATTTACATCTGTCTAGGTTTAATAGCCAAAGGGTCCAGGAAGGTTCTGCCGTCTTCACTGCATGGTGTCCAGATGTCCATCTCTAGATACAAGGGAGTCGCTTCAGTCTTTTTTTTGGGGGGGTGGGGGTGGGACTTGGATTTGAACTCAGGTCTCGGTGTTTGCAAAGCTCTAGTCTTGTTATCTCCCTATCAGGAACATAAGAACAAATGCATCCATTTTGGGACATGACTCCAGATTGGTGTTTGTGCCATTTGTACATTTCCTGTTGGTTAGAGCGCCAAACTGAGAGGCTGTGAATGTCATTGTAGCTGGGTGACTAATGGGTTCTGACGTAACAGAAGCAGGGACACTGGTAAGCTTCTAGCACTCTCAGCTCTGCTTGGCTAGATGAAGTATTTATTGAATTTATTCTATATAATCCTTCCCAAGTAGCAGATAAACGATTAGTAAACTCAATTGTATAAACATGCAGTACACTGCAAAAAAAAATACCATAAGCAAAGTCATAACTTAGGGGGAAATATTTGCAAATCATGTAAGAGGACTTAATATGGAAAGAACACTTCCAAATAATAAGAACAAGATCAACAACCCTTTAGAGAAACAGGCCAGGGATGGCAGGGTGGCTCAAGTGGTAGAGCACCTGCCTAGCAACTGCGAGGCCTTGGGTTCAATCCCAAGTACTGCCAGAACAAACAAACAAGCAAGAAAAACAGGCAAGCAACAGAATATATGTTTCACAATATATATATATATATATATATATATAACTTTTACACATATAAAAATGTACTCAATCTCATACAAACTTAAACTACATTTTTTACCTATAAAGTTGGCAATGAACTCTGTTGCCCCCACACAGGGAAGCAATTGGTCACCCATGAACAAATCCCCGTGTATTTGTTGGTCTCCAATGTGTCAGGTACTGAGAGGACACAGATGAATTGAAATGAGTTCCTGTCCCCATGCATGTTACTTTCTGGTTAGAGTTGGGTGACAGAAAGTAAGCGTGTAACCAAGATTATTTCAGATAGTAATAAATGTCATGCATAAAATACTATGAGAAAACAGAATAACTTGAGGAAGAGTTTAGAAAATTGGAGAAGGAGCCAGTATACATGTCCCTGAAAGGTAACTTGTGAAGGAAGACACTCCTGTAAAGAGGAAGGGAAGTAGCCAGGCACTGGTGCCTCACACCTGTAATCCTAGCTTCTCAGAAGGCAGAGATCAGGAAGATCTTGGTTCAAAGCCACCCCAGGCAAATAGTTTACATGACCCTATTTTTTAAAAAAAGCATCACAATAAAGGGCTGATGGAGTGGCTCAAAATGTAAAGGTGTAGGCCCTTACACCTTAGCGCTGCAAAAAAAGAAATAGAGGGAAGAAAGGATTGGGGATATAGCGCAATAGAAAAGTACTTGCCTAGCATATCTGAGGCCCTGAATTCAATCCCTAGAAAAACAGAAAGATAAAGGGAAAGATGTTTCTGAAAGAGCTGTGATTAGTAATCCCAGCAATTCCAGAGGTGGAGGTAGGAGGATCACTGTCCACAGCCAGCCCAGGCAAAAGTTAGCAAGGCCCTGTCTGAAAACAAGCTGAAAGTAAAAGGCCTAGGGTGTGATTCAAGTGGTGGAGCACCTGCCTAGCAAGCACAAGGCCCTGACTTCAATCCCTAGTACTTGGAGGAGCCCCTGTCAGTTCTAGGGCTGCTATAACAAAAAGCCACAAAGTGGGAGGCACCCCATATTCTTTCTGGAGGCTCTAGGGAAGGGAATGTGCTTTCCACGCCTCTCTCATAGGTTCTCAGGCATTCGGTGACTTGCAGATCCACTTGTTTATACACTGTCTTCTCCCCTCATGTCTTCACATCATCTTCCTTCTGTATATGTCTGTTATTCCATCTCTCTGTCTAAATAGCCCTTTTTTTAATAGGGACATCAGTCACATTGGATTAGGACCTCATTTTAATTTGACTTCCTAGGACTAGGAATATGGCTCAAGTGACAGAGCATATGCCTAACAAGTGTGAGGCTCTGGGTTCAAGCCCCAGTACTGCCACACACACAAAAATTCACTTCCTATGTCAAGAAAGAACTTACTTCTAAACAAGGTCACATTTTGAGGTACTGGAGGTTGGGATACTTCAATATATCTTTTTTTTTTTCTTGGCAGAGAATGGGGAGTATAAATAAATCAAATCTTGGAAATTATGCTTCTGAAACTAATGGACTGGATTATTGCAAACCACCCCTCTTGAGAAAAACCAGAAAAACTACATAAAATATCAAAAACAGCTATGGAAAGCTGCTGCTCAGAAGCTAGCAAGGTGGTAAGGACTTGAGAAGCTGAGAATCCAGAGAGAAAGGAAGATTAAAACATGGGCCTGAAGCCATGCTGGTGGCTCACACCTGTAATCCTAGCTATTTGAGAGGCTGAGATTGGGAAGGTGACAGCCAGCCCAGGCAAATAGTTCATGGGACACCCTCCCTTCCCATTTCTGAAATAACAAGAGCAAAATGGACTGGAGGTGTGACTCAAGAGGTAGAGCACCTGCTTTGGAAGCACAAATCCCTGAGTTCAAACCCCAGTCCCACCAAAAAAATAAATAAGTAAAAGATTATCCTGAGCTGGGCATGGTGGCTCATGCCTGTAAATCCTGGCTACTCAGGAGGCAAGAGGTTAGGAGGGTTGAGGTTGTAGGTCAGTCCGGGCAAAAAGTTAGTGAGACCCCACCTCAACAAACAAAGCTGGGCATGGTGGTTCACACCCATCATCCCAGCTATGTTGGAGGCGTAAATAGGAGGATCATGGCTGAAGCCAGCCCTGGCAAAAACTTACAACACTATCCCAAAAATAACTAAAGCAGAGAGGGCTTGGGGGCATGCGGCCACTCCCAATACCACCAAAAAAAAAGAACCTGAGCCTTGCTTTTGTCCTCAAAGTATTTGTAGATCTGCAGACAGAAGTTAAGTAGCTGAGCCAAGATTATAGCAATCTTTCAAACCTAAAGGAATAAGACCAGAGTTGGGGCCCATCAAGGAGGAGGTGCCTCACCTTGGTAAACACGCAGGCTTTCATTGGGATTCCCTAAGAGTTAACCTAGGAGAAGAATGCAATATGTCGAGATGAACCCTAATGAAACTGAGCCCAGCTTCTCGTCAGCTCAAGCCCATCTGGGGTAGAAGTAATCAGCCTTGAACCTACTACTTGCCAGAAGCAAATGGATATCTTTTCTGACAATACCGCTCAATCTCAAATTATTTCTTTTTCATACACAATTATCAAGCTTGCCAGGAGACATGAGTATATGACCAAAATGCAAAAGGAAAAATAGATGATAAAAACAGACCCACAGAAGATACATGTTTTAGAAATATCAAAGAAATACTTTTACAGTAACTTTTAATTAGTAAACAAGATGGGAAACTTTATCAGAGAACTATAAAGGGGGGGGAAGGAATTTATATCCTAGAGCTGACAAATACATTTAACCAGCTGTGCACTGGTGGCTCACATCTGTGATCCTGACTACTTGGGAGGCTGTGATTGGAAGGATCACTGTTCGAGACCAGCCCAGGCGGGCGAACAGTTCATGAGACTCCCATCTCCAAAATAACCACAGCAATGTGGACTTGGAGGTGTGGCTCAAGCAGTAGAGTGAATGCTGTGCAAGTACAAAGCCCTGAGTTCAACCCCAGTCAATTAATCAATTAATTAACTGAGGTTTAAAGCTAAGTAGATGAAAATCCTCAACAATCAGATTTAATAGCAGGTTTATCACAACTGAGGAGAGCATTAATAATTTGGAAAATGAGACAACAAATTCAGACTAAATCACAGAAAAAGAAAAGAGAAAATATGCAGAAAACAGTATAAGATGTAGAAAAGAGAATTCATGTCTAGCATTTACGTAATTGGAGCCCTACAAGAAGAGAAAAGAGACTGGAACTGAAACTCTTCCAGAACTGATTAGCAATGTTGAGCCACAAGTTCAAAAGTGCTGTGAACTCCGTGCAGTGCCACAACAAATGTGGCATGTTTAAATGACGAGGCTAGCCTGGGAAACACAGGGAAAGTTCTGATGATGACACTGGACACACTAGATTAGGTAGGACCTTACAGGCCATGGTAGAGTTTAGACTTTAAGCTGGGTGTGGTGGTGCACACCTGTAATTTCTGCGACTCAGGAAGAGTGCAGAGAATCACGAGTTTGAGACCAAACTGGGCAACATAGTGAGATGCTCCACCTCTCATAGAGCTTAGATTTTATTCTGATTATAATTGGAGTCCACTGGAAGAGTTTAATAAGGAGAAACCTCATCTGTAGGTTTGCTTCTGCTGTGGATGGAGGAGGAAGTGCAAAAAGAACACATGGATAATAGTACAAGGGAGAAATGCTCAGGCTTTGGCATTGCGTTAGAATGGAGATGGTCATTGTTTGGGGCAGCCAGATGCCCAACTGAGAATATAGGATCTGTTACTATGGAAATGGCAGGAGAGAAAACAGATAATTAGGGTACCACTTGCATTCCTTCTACTGAGCTTGGATCAAGGACTGGGTCCAGCCAAGGAAAGTGAGGAGAAGCAAGCAAAGTAGGAATGAAACCAGGCAGGAGTGGCACAAGGGAAGCTTAGAGAGGAAGATGATCATGAAAGGAGGTGCAAAAGTGCTGCTGAGAGGCTGAGCGAGATGAAGACAGAGCCTTTGGATTCAGCGAAACAGAGATCACAATGCAATCTCTTCACAATTTGCAAAGCATGAAGTCCTGAGTTCAAACCCCAGTTCCTCCCAAAAAAAAAAAAAAACCAAAAAACCTGTTATAACAAAAAAGATCATTGAGAATCTAAGAGCTGTGACAAAGGCTAACAAGGACAAAAGGGATGAATCTGGAGAGGGACAAATAGAAGGTGAGAGGCAGCAGGTGGACACAAGGCTTCTGAAGAGTCTTGACTGTGGAAGGGAGCAAAGGAAAGAATGGGCTAGAGGAGCTTTATTTTGATTTGTTTGATGAAGGGCACTATTAAGGGGTGTGACAGTGACCTAATGAAGAAAAATTTGGTATTTCATAATGGGGTAGGAATGGTAGAATTATAAAAGAGTGTACTATAGATTGGGAAAGGTACCTAATGCATCGTGTGTCCATTTTATGAAAGATAAGAGACAGCTCTACTCAATAAACACTTGTTAAGAATAAGTTCAGGGAAGGGGAGCTTAGCCCTCATAATAAGGGCAAACACATACAGAGTGTACTGTGCTCAAGGCATTGTTCCAAGTGCTTTGCACATAATTCTCACAGCTGTGTTTGTCCTAAATGCAAATATTCAATCCCAGCTACACAGGAAGCTGAAATGGGAGAATCACATGAGCCCAGGAGTTCAAAGTCAGGCTGGTTAACATAGCAAAACCCTGTCTCAAAAAATTAAAATGAAAAAATTATGAAGTTACATGCAAAGTGAAATTTTGGGAGGTTGTGAGGGGTCCAAATAATTGGACTTCAAATCATCGGATCTTTATTGTCTGTATTTGCCAGTGTAGCCATGTCTATTTCAGAATTATTTGATGTACATTTAATTTTAAATCCTTAATTTCATGATGTCTTTATAACGTTTTTCTATCTTTGGCAGGAATTAAAAGGTGGAAAAGCTTATGCAAAGGTAAGTAGATTTTTTTTAACTCTTTTGGAACTTCTAATATCACTCATTGCTATCTTAAAACTCAAAAATTAGACTGGGCACCAGTGGCTCATGCCTGTAATCCTAGCTACTCAGGAGGCAGAGATCAGGAGGATCACAGTTCAAAGCCAGCCCAAGCAAGTAGTTCATGCGACCCTATCCCAAAAAACCCTTCACAAAAACAGGACTGGCAGAGTGGCTCAAGGTGAAGGCCCTGAGTTCAAGCCCCAGTACTACAAAAAAAAAAAAAAGACTCTAAAATCAAATTGTTAATCTTCAAGTTTGACTTTTTTAAGTAACTTAGAGATTAAACAGTTAGATCAACAATAAATTACAAGCATGTTCTTTCTAAATGTTAATTATGGGTGTTATTTTTAGTTTTAGCTTTCTTATTAAGAATTAATGTTTCTGATTTTCTTGAAGCTATAGCTTACTGATAATTCAAACAGTCTCAACTGGGAAGTATTACCAGGCCCACCTCTCCCTAGTGGAAAGAACCCCTCTTCTGTGCTTTCTTAGCACTCTGTACGTTTGTCCCTAGCTATCTGCAGAGGATTGGTTCCGAGACCCTTCCCTCCCTCAGAGTACCAAAGCCCAAGGATGCTCAAGTCCCGAATAGAAAATGGCACAGTATTGCATGTAACCCACACATCTTTCCATATACTGTAAATCCTCTTGGCTGGTGGATTGGCTCAAGTGTAGAGCATCTGCCTAGCAAGCCAGAGACCCTGAGTTCAAACCCCAGTGCTGTCAAAAAAAAAAAAATCATCTCTACATTACTTATAATACTTAACACAAAGTAAATGTAAATTGTTGTTGTTTAAGGAATAATGACAAGAAAAAAAATCTATGTGTGTTTAGTGCAGGCAAACTTTTTCCATGTGTGGTACTGGGGATTGCACCCAGAGCCCACTACCACTGACCTATATACCCCAAGATGCCAAATGCAATTTAAAAAAAAAAAAAAGTTTTTTCCAACTGTGATTGGTTGGATCCACAGATATGGAACCCACACCTGCAGAGAGCCAGATATGCATCCCTACTGCCTGTGTTTTGTTTTGTTTTTTTTTAATTTTATCTTATTGGTTTTACATTTACTTACATGTGTATTCATTATTTGGGCCACCTTCCCCCACCTTTGTTTCTTCTACTAGCTGTGTAGAATTGCTAATGGATGTGATATTTCAAGAAGCCCACGTTCTCCCCTCTAATTTCCAGTCTCTGAGAATGGCACCTCCATCTGCCCAGCCATCCGAGCCAAGAACCCAAAAATTTACCACCAAACCTACCTAACTCCCAAAATCTAGTTGTTTGCAATGTCAGCTAGGACGTTCTTTGCTATAAGGAACAGAAAATCCTTCTCCACAAGAGTTTTTAACTTCACAAAACAAGCAGGTTGGTGAGTCCACTAACTGGAGCACATCATCAGGAACCTAAATTCTTCTGTTTCCATTGTCCCATTCTCTACGCAATTACTTTGTTCCCGGATAGCTCCTTTTCTAAACACCAGGGCTCTGCTGCTCGAGTTTTAGTCAACACATGGCTGCTCCCATACCTTTCATTGGCCAGATCACGTGGCCAGTGGATCATACACCCTCCCCCATACACCGTTTGGACCACAGGAATGGGTTGCCGTGTTTATCTTAGAGTAAACATAATTTAACAATGAGCTAGGGAGAGCATTGCCTTCCAACTGTACAATGACCATGGAAGAATTAGGAAAGGGGATTCCTCAACAAAAGCAGGGCTTTGCTAACAAGGAATAACGGGCCACTGAGAGTTGGACAGGCAGAAAAAAACTCGTGAATGCATTTGATTTTCTCTTCTAAGAGAAAATGGTATCTTTCTTTCTAAATTCTAAATGCTCTAAAATATTCTAAATATTCTAAAATGAAACCATACCTTCTCTATTCCTAAGGCCACTTCCTTAGGTTATGCCTTCATTATTTCTTATGCATTGGCCTGTTTAGTCACTGTGCCTCTATTGTCCCCTCCAGCCTCCATGGTGTTGCTGGAGTGATTGTTCTAAAATTAAAACACGATCCTATCCCTCCACTTTTCAGTTCTTCAGCAGCTAGTCACTGCCTGTAAAGGAAACTGAAAATTCTATCAATTAACACACAGGACTCATTTTGGTTTGCAAATTATTTCTGCTACTTCATCTCTTGCCACCTGTGTTCTGTCGCTCTCGCTCGCTCCCTCGTCTTCCTTATGAGGCGTACTGCCATCCTCAGCTTCCTGAAGTCAGTAGCTCTGCTATTTTAGCTTCTTTGCCTTGTGACTTGATGTTTTCCTACCACGCATGTATTCCTGCCCCTCCTGTCCTGTCAACTCACGTATCATAAGCTGAGTCATTCCTCCCCACTGAGACCTTTTTCCTCTTTCTTGTAATTGTATCTTCCCCTCTCATTGCACTTCTCAAACCTTATTACAGGAATTCGTTTTCTGTTTTCCCATATTAAACTATGAGAGTAAGAATAATTCTATATAGCATCTGGTGGCATAGCTTGAGGGCAGAGCAGTTGCCTGTCTTGCATGAGTTCCGGATTCAAGCCCCAACACCAAAAAAGAAAAGGAAGGAAGGAAGCTCAAACCCCAGTACTGCCAAAAAAATATATATATATACACGTATGTGTATATATATATGTGTGTGTATATATATATACACGTATATATATATATATATATGTGTGTGTATATATATATATATATATATATATATATATATATATGTATGTATGTATTCCAGTGCCTAATTTTAACTGGAACATAGGTGCTGGAAATTATTTTCTGAATAAATTAATGTCTACTGAAGATGTGGCGTGTCTGTGTGTGTCACACACACACATTCACGTCACTTTTATGAGACATTTATTTTGGTGAAGCCAAAGAAAAAGTCCTAAAGAAATATGAACTCTCTGGTACCTCTTTATAATGCAAGATCTTGGAATGAATGGTATTTGTCTGGTCCTTCACTGTTTTCCTGTGTCTAGAATAGGGCCTGTCACATAAAAGGTGCTCAATACATTTTCGACAAATTTTGGCTTCACTCATTGGAGACCTTCAGCATCTAACATCACATTGCCATACATCATTTCAGGCAGACTTAGTTCATTTAGGCTTCTAACAAACCTCCACAGACCCAATGACTTGAGCAGCAGACATTGTTTTCTCACAGGTCTGGATGCTGGGAAGTCTCAGATCACGATACTAACAGATCCAGTGTCTAATGAGATTCTACTTCCTGGTTTACACACAGCTGGCTTCTCCTTATGTCCTCACATGGCAGAGAGCAGAGAGACAGGAACAAGCTCTCCCCTGTCTGGATTAATCCTGCCTGGGAGTGCGGCTCAGTGGTGGAGCATGTGCTTACCATTTGCAAGGGCTGGGTTTGATCCCCAGCCTGGGGGGCGGGGATATTAAGCCACTCACAGGGGCTCTACTCTCATGACCTCATTACCTTCCAAAGACCTCAGCACTAAATACCATCCTGTAGAGAGTTATGGTTTCAAGATATAAATTTTGGAGAAATACAAGGATGCAACCCATAACAGACTGATGAGATTTTTATCTTGGTGACAAGCTGATACCAGTATTACAACAGCGTATGGTAAGTCAGTGGGCTACCTTTTATACAATAAAGGCTCTTTTAGAGAAATGACATTTGCACCTTGACACAACTGGAGTGGAAGAGAAAACTACAATACCGTCTAAGAGAGAGTGTTTCAGGCAAAAGAGCAAGAGAGTTTAAAGGCTTGAGATGATCTTGACATTTTCAAGGTCATCTTGATATTGTGGCTAGCAGGGTATATGACGAGGAGAAAGGGAAGAAATAAAGTTGTCCAGATTGCCAAAGACAGAGGAATCAGATGACATAGACAGCTATTTCAAGGAGATGTTTTGGGACAGGGGAATAAAAATGACCCAATGTCATGGAGAAGTACTCAAGGAGGTTTGGTTTTGTTCATTAAGAGAGGAGACAATCCATGCTGACGGGAATGACCCAGGACAGAAGAGAGGTTTTAGAATGCCTGAGAGCAGAAAGCACGAGGCAAGCAAGCTGGCCTCAGGAACACAGCCAGACCACCCACCGTCCTCTCCGTGGGAGGTGAATATGTGTCCTGGTGCAGGAAGGTGAGAGGCTGTGGCCAGTCAAGAGTTTTTGGAAGCTCAGTGTTCTTTTGATTGCTTTTATTCTCTGAGTGAAACAGGAAGCAAGGTCAGGAAAGACGAGTTGGAGGGTAATACACAAAACAAGATGTGTTGATAATGTGTGATCAAGTCAGTCACGGGACTCTTCACAGGCCCCACTGGCTATATCTAGCTACCTCTGCTGACCCTTTGTCCCCCTAAAAGGCAGAAAGACCAGCATGTAAAAATTAAGTAGATGTTACCTGTAGTTTGATATGTGCCTGACTTACTGAATTTGGGACTTCACCCATTCTCTGCGTTTTTTGAACCAGTTAAAAGCTACTACTAAGTAATGTTCCCGGCAGTAGTTAAAATCTTCATCTCAAACACCATTCTGTGTTTCAAAACCTCGAAGGAATTTCAGCAGTGTTTGGAATGTATTATCATATGTTCATGAAGAGATGCTTAATTACCAGCACAATTCATTTTGTTTTTATTTATTTCAAGACAGAATCTCATATGTACCCCAGGCTGCCCTGGAACTCACTATATAGCCCAAGCTGGCCTTGAACTGAGGATCCTCCTGCCTCAGCCTCCCAAGTGCTGGGATTACAGGCATGCACCACCATCCCTGGCTTATTTTTTGTTAATGAAAGACTATATACACTTAGTTTTTTGAAAGTAGACTATTCAGAAAATAATGACATGATGGAGGTGACTTGTACTACTTAGAAATGAGAAATAGGGTTGAGCGACATCAGAAGAAAAGCTATAGAGCAAGCTTTGATAATGGCAGAAAACGGGACCAAACCTGAGTAGTACTACAGAAGAGGAACTGGTGTGCTTGAACTTCTGGTAGCAGCAGAGAGGGATGTGGGGTGGAGCTTTGAGAAAGGGAGGAGATGGTTCCATGAAAAGACCAGGATCAAGGACAATTCTCAAGCCAGGTGCTGGTGGCTCTGCCTGTAATCCTAGCTACTTCAGAGGCAGAGATCAGGAGGATCACCATCTGAAGCCAGCCTGGTTCAATAGTTCACGAGACCCTATCTTAAAAATACCTGTCACAAAAAAGCACTGGTGGAGTGGCTCAAGGTGTAGGCCCTGAGTTCAAGCCCCAGTACTGTAAAAAAAAAAAAAAGGACAAGTCTCAAGGAAAATGTTATGGAGGCAGGAAAAGAAAAGGAACTCGTACCCAAGAAAGTGCATGATTCACTTAAATCATACTAGTTCTTTTTGTTTGGTTTGGTGGGACTGGGGTTTGAACACGGGGCTTTGTGCTTGCAAATCAGGAACTCCACCACTTGAGCCGTACCGCCAATCCATTTTGCTCTGGTTATTTTTGGAGATGGGATCTTGTAAACTGTTTGCCTGGGCTGGCCTCAAACTATGATCCTCCCAATCTCAGCCTCTCAAGTAGCTAGGATTACAGATGTGAGCCACCAGGGCCTCACCAGACTAGTTCTTGCATGGAGAGCAAGAACTTAATATCCTGCAACTGTCTGCAATTACTAGGAGTTAACTCAGCACAGAGCCAGAGTCAGAATAGCGAGTGATAGTCTGATCATTTTTCTTTCTATGTGAGGATGCAAATGATCGTGACTGGTGACTAGCATTTCCTGCAGTGTGATATGAGTGCCACTGCTACTTGAATGATTTTAGTTGTTTGAGATAATTAGTTTTGCTATAACAGTAATGTATTTATTTTAACGTATGCAGAAAAATATATTTATCAAATCTGTGACGTGAAATATCTTAATGTTTAAGATGAGAAGAATAGCTAGTAAATTTTTACTTTAAAAGTGAACTTGTTGAAGTACACAGGTAGAACAAGCATTGTGACGATGGCAAAAATAAAAAGGACTGAAGTTTGGGGGAAACTCGTGGAGGCAGGAGCTGAGGACCTGATAGAAACCTACTTGATGTTTTATTAATATAATTCTCTTTCTTTTCATAGCTGGGCTTTGCAGATCTAAACCTGGCTGAGTTTGCTGGATCAGGAAATACCACTCGTCGCTGTTTACTGGAAGGCTATGACACCAAAAATACAAGGCAGGATAATTCCATTCTGAAAGTAAGCATACTGCAAGACTTAACAAGCCAGCAACTGAGATTCTGTGCCCGTAAATAAGCATAAGTGTCACGTTCTCGACAGGAATCAATGTCAAGGTCATGACCCTGCCACACCATGGAAATGCTCAACCTAGGGAAAGACCTGGCCAACCCATCGGAGCAGTGGGTCCTTGTCAGGGTGGTGAACATTCAAAGAATGCCTGTGCTGTTGTAACGTAGTGCTCTTGGGAGAAAGAAGCGTGACGAGTGAATAAATGCCTAAAAATGTTTATAGCTCCCAAAACATGATTTCCACTTGGGATGGGTTCTTAGAAGTCTCTAGGTTCTCTTGTGACTAGTGAAGTGACAGGCAAGACCCACATCTGGGCATGTGTCCTAGTTTTTCCAAGTACTACCAGGGCCCTTGTGCTCTGGTAATCACAGAGAAAAATATGTACTTCACAGGGTCGATTTGATTTTTAAATGAGATCAGTTGAAAAAAATATTTGAAAGTATCTTGTGCCTAGAAAAGCACTCTGGATAAACCTCTCACTGTATCTTAGTTACCTCACGATGGTAAGTTACCTAATAAGGAGAAAGGAAATAATTCTGAGTAGAAATGGAATGGGTTTTGTTTTTTTTTTTCAGAAGTTAGTTAGCTGGAGGTGTAGTTCACGTGACAGAGAAGGAGGTAGAGATTGGGAGGATTGCAGTTCAAGGCCAGCCTGAGCAGAAAGTTAGCAAGACTCCCATCTCAACAAACAAGCCAGGTATAGTTGGTCACCACTGTAATCTCAACTACATGGGAGGCCCATAAAAAGGAGGATCTCATGGGCTGAGGCTAGCCCATGCAAAAATGAGAGCCCCTGTGTGAAAAATAAACTAAAGCAAAAAGAGCTAAGGGCACAGCTCAAGTGCTAGAGTACCTGGCTAGCAAGAACAAGGCCCTGAGTTCAAAACTCAGTACCACCAAAAAAAAGTCAGTGAAAAGAATTATCTTTTATCTCCAGCTTTCAAATTTTGTTTTCAGTAAATGTGCAGCTCCAGAGATACAGAAATGCATGAAATAGCTCCTCCAGTGAGTCCGTCCCTTGCACACATTCAGCAGCCATAAAGGAAGGCGGGATGGGTAGTTGATGGGGAGGAAGAAGAAACTAAAAGGTACCGTGCTCTAAACTTCATGCTGATCTTCTAGTTTCATGGCCAGATAGCTCTGAGAACCTTAGCACGCTTGCACATCCCCTGTGAAATTGCAGGGTTGGACGGATGGAAGATTGCCATCCCCATTTTGTAGCTGGAGAAGCTGAGACCAGAACGTGTGCCTTCTGCTAGCCGGTCAGTGGTCTTGTCATGGTACTGTGCCATCCATCAGTGGCAGGCCACACCACTCCTTCTGACTGATCCCAAACAGGCCAGTAAATCCAGTCTCTAAGAAGGTGTATAAAATCCCTCTGTGAATTACACTGCTTTCAATGGAGATTGAAATAATGTTTTAATTTCAGACCTCACATTCCTTGCAGCCAGCAGCTCCTAGAGCGCTTTCCTTCCCTTCATTCTTCCACACCGTTCCTCCCACCTGAGCTCACAGAAACATGCTCTTGAAAGTCACACCAACCAGCTGTCACTGTCTCTCCCTTGCTGGTCTCTGTCACCTCCTGACCACCTAGTCCCCTTCTCTCGGTCATTGATGACTTAGCACCTGGCTCACAGTTTTTCTCTCTGTCCCTTCTGTCATCTTTGGGTGGCTGCACTGTCTATGCAGGTATGTCCTGTGGAAGGTCATGCCTGTGTATCCCTCGTGACAGTGAATCTTAAATGTGCCCAAGACTTCTCGCTTCCAACATTTTCTTCCTCAACCCTATCCTACACTCACAGTCACATTCTAAGCTTCTTGGAACCCTCACTACTTCCACCATTTCGATTCAAAGTTTTTCCCTCTCCAGCTCCAAGATCTACTCCTTTCCACCGTGTCACTTTGTTCACCCTCTCACTGTCTATCAGCCCCACTGGCTTTCCCTCTATGCAGCCCAGCTCCATGTTCCATGATCACCACACTCTTAGTTACCTTCATCCATCCTCTCCAAACTAATCCACTGAACTCTCAGCCCTCCCCAAGTCTACATCCTGCTAGCTGGACCTCACTGGAGGAGAACACAGGCATTCCTCAAGTCCTACACTGCCATCCAGCAGTCATACTCTGCCTCCTGTCCCAGTTGCATTACTCTCTTTCACGTGGAACACACCACTGCTGCCCTCAGCTGACACCCTTGCCTATCCTTTATTGAGGCAATAGAAGCCATTAAACTCAAAGCCCAGCACAGGACTTACAGTTCCATCTGCCTGTCCAGTCTCATGGCGATAGTCACCTCTCGTTTTACCCCTTGTTACTACAATGCGTGAAGTGTCTCTCCTGTCATAAGTCAGGCCTTCTTCTTGGGCACTAGAATCCAAGCTTGCCTAATCAACGTTTGTCTCCTGGGGTTATTCCGTCCTCTCTGTAACCACCTCCCTCCAACGAGCCATCCGCATCAAGGGACAAAGAAACAGCTCTGCTGTCACTCAGTATTTGAAAGATCAGAAAAACCAGCTGTCTGTCTCTCCACTGCTCTCCCACTTCTTGGTTCTGCTTCGTAAAGCTGTGTCAGTGCCTCCTCTCCTGCTCATTCCGATATTCACGAGTGCTGTCTTGACGGGCTGGACCCAGACTGTCGGGTGCTGGGAAAGAAGAGGTGATGGGAAACCAGCATTTGAGAAAAAGGACTGGGTGGAGGCACTGGGATGAAAAGTTATGAATGAAATAAGGTTAGAGGAGATTGTTGACCATTAACTGAACGTGTGCAGTAATAAGTAGTATCCGTTTTTCATGAGACCATAAATCTTGGTCGAAGCAGCCCTGGGCTCAGTTCTCAGCTCTGTTCTTGGCAGCTCTCTGATCTCAAAAGTACCCCTTAATCTCTCTGGGCTTAAAATGACAGTATCATGCTCTCATAGGAGTGTTTAAGATGACAGATACAATGCCTGGAGAACACTTAGCTTATGTCTGCTGCATAGTAAACTCTCAAACCACCCTCACTGTGAATGTTACCATCACTTACTAGTTTTCCCATAAGAATGTGAACTGGTCCTCTGGCTGATTCTTAAAAGTTAGCCAGCAACCAGAGAAGAGCAGCACTTCAGAAGGAACTAGAAAAGCTTTAAATCCTGACCTAAAAGGAGGAAAGGCCAGAAGCTCTGTGTTCTTAGAGCCATCATCAGGTGCCCTCTGAAGCATCAGCATGACAAGCTGGAGGGGAACATCACCAGACACTTGAGCACCACAAGACTCCAGGAGAGGACACAGATAGGCTAGAATAGCATAGTCCACACTTACAGAAGGGCAGTTACTGGCAAAATGCTTGCTTTCTTTTTTTTTTTTTTTTAATTTTTTTTGTGGTACTGGGACTTGAACTCAGGGCCTTGCACTTGCTAGACAATCACTATCACGTGAGCCATATCCCCCAGCCCAGGACTTGTTTTTATTTTCTTTTCCATTCTCATTTTTATAATTACAAGGTTTTGAATGTTAGAAAACACTTCAATCTATGTGTATATAAGGTAATTTAATACTAGCTGTACCCCCAATTTAACAACCTTTTTATTAGACTGAGTGCTGTGGGGAAGCCTGGAGGAGCAGACATGGCTTCTTGCTCTCCAGAAGTCTTTCATAATCACATATTTCTTATTCTTGCATTTAGGTTTTGATCAGTATGCAGCTGATGTCTGGTGACCCATGTTTTAAAACGTAAGTTGATACCCAGTAAACGAGTTATTTATCTGGACATTTCACAGAACCTTGTTTAAATGTTTACATTAACATTTTGCAGTATTTGCAGGCAAATTGTTCCTTTCCTGGTGAACAGATCTGACATTCATAGAAGTTACTGTTTCCTATTACCAAATCAACTCACACCCTCTAAATGATTTAAGTTATAGGACTTTTATCATCTGCAGGTTTTTAGATTTGGGGTGACATTTTACAAAGTGAACATTTTAATTGGGTTTCTATGTGCTTATTCATGTCTATTATGTGCCTTACTTGTGCAAGACCCTCTCCCACAGCGGCAGCAGTGAACAAAATAGATTCAGTTCTTGGAGCTTCTACCCTAGGAGGAAACAACAATAAACCAAGAAGCAATATAAATACAGAGCTGAGCAATTGGGTGAAAAGTAAAGTAGGGTAGCGGGGCCTTGGTGGAGAAACAGGCTGATTTATATCACATAGTCAGAGAAGGATTCCTGATCAAAAGGACGTCTGAGTAGATTGCTGAAGGAGGTGGAGAGCAAGCCACACGGTCACTGGGGAAAGAGCACTGCAGTAGAGGAACCAGACAAAAGCCTTAAGAAAGGAGTGTTCATGACACATTCCAGTAACTCAGGAGACCACTATGTCCAGAGCAGAGTAATAGGGTGGTAGGAGACTGGTCAGATGGCAGTCTTAGGGTGTTATAACAAGGTAAATGACCTGACTTGGCCTCCTGGTGCTGACCACGGGCTGTGTTCTTCCACTGACTGCTAAAAAGTAGACCTCAGCCCAGGCCCTGTGCCTGGTCTGTACTATGAATGGGGAGACATGGGGGAAAAAATCCCTGACTTATGACTGCGAGGTAGAGAATAGACAATCTGTGGGAGCAGTGATGGGAACAAGGCAGAACTAGGTAGATGATGTGACACTTTCAGGAATCCCGTGTTTGGGGACTGAATAACAGGACAAATGTTTTCACTTACTGAGAAAGCACAACAGGAATGATTGAGAGCTTGGGCGTTAGACTCGTTAAGTCTGAGAACCCAGCTGGACAGGTCAAGTGGCACCTGGATATACTGGCTCCAGTGGGGGGACCCAGGCTGGGGATATCAACTTGGAAGTCATTATCAGCACCTAGAAAGTAATTAGAGTTATGACACTTGATAAAAGTGATCTAAAGGGGTATAAAGAAAGGAAAGGAAAGGACCATAGACTGAGGGGGGCACATTCCAGCATGTTAGAGGCTGGAGAGATGGCATGAACCAGTAAAGGGACAACCGGTGAAGTAGGAGGAGGAAGCAAAGGAGAGCCCCGTCCTGAAAACCAGGTGGAAAGGTGTTTCAAAAGGGAGCAGCGAGGTAAATGGATGGAACTGGAGAACGTCATTCTGAGTGAGGTTAGCCTGGCCCAAAAGACCAAAAATCGTATGTTCTCCCTCATATGTGGACATTAGATCAAGGGCAAACACAACAAGGGGATTGGACTTTGAGCACATGATAAAAGCGAGAGCACACAAGGGAGGGGTGAGGATAGGTAAGACACCTAAAAAACTAGCTAGCATTTGTTGCCCTTAACGCAGAGAAACTAAAGCAGATACCTTAAAGCAACTGAGGCCAATAGGAAAAGGGGACCAGGAACTAGAGAAAAGGTGAGATCAAAAAGAATTAACCTAGAAGGTAACACCCACGCACAGGAAATCAATGTGAGTCAATGCCCTGTATAGCTATCCTTATCTCAACCAGCAAAAACCCTTGTTCCTTCCTATTATTGCTTATACTCTCTCTACAACAAAATTAGAAATAAGGGCAAAATAGTTTCTTCCAGATATTGGGGGGATGGGGGGGAGAGGGAGGGGGTGGAGTGGGTGGTAAGGGAGGGGGTGGGGGCAGGGGGGAGAAATGATCCAAGCCTTGTATGCACATATGAATAATAAAACAATAAAAAAAAAAGGGGAGCAGCGAGGACTGGGTGTACAGCTCAGGGGAGAATACTTGCCTGGCATGCCCAGGGCTCTGGGTTCCATCCCCAACACCACAGATTTTTTTAATTTAAGTAAATAAAAAGAGAGAGAGAGAACTGGACATCACTGGCTCACACCAGTAAACCTAGCTACTCAGGACGCAGAGATCAGGAGGATCATGGTTCAAAGCCAGCCCAGACAAATAGTTCACGAGACCCTGTCTCAAAAAAAAAAAATCACAAAAAAGAGCTGGTGGAGTAGCTCAAGGTGTAGGCCGTGAGTTCAAGCCCTAGTACTGCCAAAAAAAAGAGGAGTAATCACCTGTGTCGTACACCATTGAAGTTGTCTTCAGAAGACAAGACCTAGAACTGGCCTTTGAATTTTGCAATAAAGAGAGAATTGGTAACTTTGACCCACACTGCGAGAATCCTCTTGGATAAAGCCTTTTTGGAATGGGTTACAGAGGCTTTGCAGGAGAAAACTGAAGACAGTGTAGACAGTCCTTCTGAGGAATTTTGCCATAAAAAGGAGTAAAGAAAGGCCATAGAGTGAAGCAGGTTTTGTTTATTTTAAGATGGAGACAGTACAGCGCACTCGTACACTGGTGGGAGTGGCCCCATAAAGATGGGGGAAGGGATGACAGGGAAGAGAAAAGGGACAATTACTAGAACTGTACTTGGACTGTCAAGAAAACCGGGCTATCAATGCAGGTAGACGAGGAAGTTCCTTCTAACCACTCCTGATTTCTTAGTAATATAGGAAATGAGGGGACCACTGGGGAACTGAGGTAGAGCTTTGAAGAAAGGGGAAGATGGGAGTAAAGGCTTCTCCAAGTGGGAGATGCAATAGGATTGTCTGTCAACAATCTTGAAGATACTTAATTGAGAGTAAAGGCTCATTAGATCTTATTGAAACATCTAGAAAAATATATTTTTTAAAGTAAACATTATACCCTATACATCAGTTTTATGATTTCAGTAACTCTCACTGTAACTTAGAAAACAGTGTCTTACCAGGCATGGTGGTACATGCCTGTAATCCCAGTACTCACAAGGCTGAGGCAGGAGGATCACAAGTTTGAGGCCAGCCTGACTACATACTAAGACCTTGTCTTTAAAAAATATATTAAAAAGAAAATAGTTGTTAGAACTCAAACCTGCCCCTCCTCCATTAGCCAATCCTTGTGCTCACATAGAATCTACACTATTGGGGTTCTCTGTAGGCTGTCCCTGGGCAGGTGAACTGTTTACAGAGAGGAAGGTAGAAGATAAAGCCATAGCTACTGCTTAAGAAGTTAGGGGGTAGGAGACACAAGATGTTCTCCCAACCTCAAACAGGCCTGGTGCCTCTTCTCCAACTCAGATGTCTCCCAGTGGTCTGTGTTGACTTGACATTAAAGCACCCCTCCATTTTCAGTGCTGGATACACACTGATGGAGTCTCTCTCCCTTTCCCTCTCTCTCCTTGCCTCCCTCCTCCGCTTTCTCTCTCTCTTTTTTGGACAAGTTCTCACTATGAGGCCAGGCTAGCCTTCAACTTGCAATCTTACTTCCTCCACCTCCCGAGTGCTTAAATTACAGGTGTGCACTATACACTCGGTGTGAGTCCTCCCCTCAGGGCTCCATGGAGGCAGTACCCATTCTCTTCTTACCATTTTGTTGTGTAAACAGCGTTTGCTCCATGAATTCTATTTTTAAAAGCTACTTACACATAACTCATTGGTTCTTACTGATTTCACCCTCAGAAGGCTGAAGCAGCTTACAAAGAGTGTACTGACCACACAACCAATCTGTAATAGATTTTCAACTCACCCTTGAGTGGAGCTCTGATCTTAGCACTGTTTATTGGCAGGCCTCCCTCCACATCAATGTCTATACCTATTGCTGGTGAATCCGAGTTCCTGGAAGAAGACAGGAAAGGTGGAGAGACCCTCAAAGTCCATCTCGGAATAGCAGGTATGGATGTGCGGCTCGCTGGATTTTTAATTTGTGAGAGAAATAGTCCTCCTTTAGCTCCAAAAAGCTCCCCACGGTCTTTCCAGATTTAAAATGTTACGGGTAGGTGACTTGAGATGGGCCAATAAATCCTTTACCTTGTCTAAAGCCGTGTACTCTGTCAGATTAAGAGCTAAACGTGGCAGAGACATGGCCCCGATGGCCTGCATCTGTTCCTGCAACCAGAGGCGACAGGATTTCTTTTCCAGAGGTCACTTTGCCTCTATCAGTGCTTCTCAAGCCTTGGTGAGCAACAGAATCACCTGAAGGCTGCTCAAAACCCATGGGTGCCACCGCAGGGTTTTGCCTCAATAGAGCGAACGGGTGCCTCAAGTTCTGTATTACAACAATTCAGATGCTGCCGGTTCCCACACCTGGAAGTCCTGTCTCTAGGCACATTTCCAGCATAGTATGTGCTGTAGTTGTTAAAAATCGGGGTGGGCAAGATGCCATGATGGGTGGAGGAAAAGGACCTAGGAGCTTCCTTCCCAAGTTATGTGAGCAGGATGTGTTGTTTGAAAGACTGGAAAGAAAGATGAAGTGAGCCAGGCACCTGTGGCTCACACCTGTAATCCTAGTTACTTGGGAAGCTGAGATCAGGGGGATCATGCTTGGAGACCAGCCTGGGCAAATAATTCTCAAGACCCCATCTCAAAAACAACCAGAGCAAAATGGACTGGAGGCATGGCTCAAGCGGTAGAGCACCTGCTTTGCCAGGGAGAGGCCCTGAGTTCAAACCCCAGTCCCAAGGAACGAAGGGAGGGAAGGAGGAAGAGAAGGAGGTGAAGACGTCTTCACTACCTTCTCAAATATGCAGTGATGTGGTTTCTTAGAGATGATGGTGACTGAAATTGCCTGGTTTAGGACCAGCAATCCTTTGGCTACTTTTAACTTTTGCATTAGCTTCTTCATTTCAGCACTTAAATATCCTGAATTCTTTCTTATACTAAGAAAATAGTACAGTCCTACAGCCTTCTCTATCCCTGCCATCCTGTGGATTCCAGCAGGCTGGTGCTCACTATTTTGATAGATAGATAGATGTAATGTGTGTGTGTGTGTGTGTGTGTGTGTGTGTGTGTGTGTGTGTGTGTGTATTTGGAGAGAGAGATCATCAAAGGGAAAAGTACATATATTACATATATGATATGATATACATATATCATTTGTGTGTGTGCATCACACTATATATAACCAAACTTATAGAAAGAATATACTGCTTGTTTATTCTGAAACATATTTGCAGTCTGGCTTCTCTCTTCTGCTTTCTCTCTCTCTCTCTCTCTCTCTCTCTCTCTCTCTCTTTCTGTCTCTCTCTCCCTCTCCCTTTCTCTCTGTCTCTGGTTCTGGGGATCAAACCTAGGACTTTGAACATGCCAGACAAATACGTTCCTACTCAGCTGCACACCTCCCCCTTCTGCCCTCTTTTGGTGTCTTCAGTTACATGATCATCAAATTCTATGGGCCTTTTTTTTTCTGTTCTCATCTGACTTTGTCACTTTTTTTTTTTTTTTGTAGTGTGGGGGGAGGATGAGGAATGAATCCAGGTCTTCCTGTGCTAGGCAAGCACTCTACCACTTGAGCCATACCTCCAGTTCTTTTATTTTTCAGGTAACTAACTTTGCCAGGCAGCCCTTGACCTGTGATCCTCCTAGCTCCACCTCCTTAGTAGCTGAGATTATAGGCTGCACCACCATGCCCGGCTTCACTTTTTCTTTCTTGAAACTTTCTCCTCCTTATCCTCCCACTTCTCTGACCTGTCCTTTTCTAGCTTTTTAGAGGCTTCTTTGTCTTCTTTCCCCCTTCCTTTAAATACTACTATTCACCAGGGTTTGGTCCTCTTTGCTTAGCTTCCTGGTCGATGTCATCTATGCCCTTGGACTTTACTGTCACATAAATGAAGTGTGCAGATGTAGCTGTCACCATGTATACGTGTGCTAAATACTTTTCCACTCACAAACTGGTGTTGCCTCTGGGCTTCCCTCCTGAACTCCAGGTGCCTGCTTCCAGATGTCTTTTGGAAAGGTCCACTTCACGCCAATGTTAAATTTAAACCCATCCGTTTATGTTTCTCCCTGGCCAGGTGCCAGGTTCTTCACGATCTGGTTTTATTTGTCTGCATATCCCAGGGTAAAGCCAGGGACCAGTCAAAATGTCAGGAATGTTTGAGACAGCTCGGGTGTCTCAAGTTCCACAGAACCAGCATGAGTCTTCCTAACTCTTCCTCCCACATTTTCTCTTGGGTATCCCGGCACCAGGTACCTCCTTAGAAATTGAGCGCTGTCCCCTGTGCCTGTGCCTACTAACCCTCTCTGCTCACACTCTCAACACTCCTTCACCCCGTTTGCGCCATTGTCACAGTGATCCTCCAAAACGTGGATTGGCATGTCACACCCGTGCTGCTGCAAGCTGTTGGATGACTTCCCTCATCAAATTCCTAGTAAGTTCTTCCTCAGCTGGTACCTGCTTATCTCTCCAGCCTCCTTTCCTTCAGTCATACACCATTCCCTGTGTGCTAACTTTACTGAGCCATTTGCTTCTACAGGCAAGGCATGCTCTTCCCTGTCCCTTCTAGACAGTGTTAAAGTCCTGAATTAGCCTCCCATGGGGGCTTTTCCCCATACATAGCCACCTGGTACATGTACTATCCTTTTTTTTTTTTTTTGAGACAGTCTTGCTACTTAGAACTCACTATGTAGCCCAAACTGGCCTTGAACTTGTGATCCTTCTGTCTCAGTCTCCCAAGTACTGAGAGACTACAGGTGTGTGGCACCATGCCCACTCCTCCACCATCTTTTGGAGTTCATAATAGCTTCTTTTTTGGTGCTTCAAGTTTAGTGCTTGCCACATTGTATTCTGGTCATTTCCATCTCTAAAGCTTGAGCATGTGTTTTGTCTTATTAATTTTGCACCTCCTATACCTTTGTTTCTTCTATAACTTGGGCATCTGACTTGGTAAGAGCTTGATAATATGTATTCAATGAATAAACCTTGAAAACCACAAGATAAATGGATGAGTTAAGCTCTAACTAAATGCAGCAATTTCACTCTATGTAAATCTCACCCTGAACCAGCTCTTTGAGTGGCTTTCGTTGGAGCTGGCCTTTGGGTTTAGGGCTGCTCTAGATCAATGCCTGGGATACTGCAGTCTGTCCAGAAGTGGGAAACCTTTGTCGAGTGGTGGTGGCTTACTTGTTTGGCAAGTAAGTAAGCTGTGTGTAATATCATTTATAGAAATGCTGCTGTAATAACTATTACTCGATTGCTTCTGCTTCTAAGTTAAAAACCGTTCGCCCCAGTAAAAAGATCACAGTTGTATAGTCTGTGGAAGAAACCCGGTCAGGAAATACATAACTGTCATCATGCAAGAAGTTAGAAAATCATTTTCTTAAGAACTTTTGTCTTCAGTGTGACAGTCCATGCTGTGTTGATTTAAGCCACAAACATTGCCCAAATTATAGCTTAGCACCAGCAACACTAACGTTGTTGTAATAAAGTGTCTGTAGTGCACGGCTCTGATGCATTTCTGAGGAAGCAAGATTCCCTCAGAAAACACACGAAAGGGCTGAGCATGGCCCATGCAGGCACACCTGTAATCTCAGCACTTGGGAGACTGAGACAGGAGGACTGCAAGTTCAAAGCCAGCCTGAGCCACACGGTAAGACCATATCTCAAAAGAAGAAAAAAAGAAAAGCACGCTAAAATCTGGCAGTTTTGTGAGAATTTATAAGAATAAACCTGACCAGCTTCTGTGCCACCTGACCAGGGCCCACGACTTTTTCTCTTGTGGTGCCTGTTCTTTCCTTTTTTTTCAACAAAGCTTTGCTACTGCTTTGCAAAATAATAATGATAATAATAATAATAATAGTAAGTAAATCAATAAGCCTGACTGCTGTAAATACATGAAGAAAATTTCAACATCCTTAGCCAGAATGGAAATGCAAATCAAAACAGCACTGAGATTCCATCTCATCCCAGTCAGAATGGCTGTTACCAAGAAAATAAAGAACACGGCTGGCGGAGTGGCTCAAGCAATAAGATCCTGAGTTCAAACCCCAGTACCACCAAAAAAAAAAAAGAAAGAAAGAAAGAAACACAAACAAGCCGAGTTTGGTAGCTCACACCTATAATCCTAGCTACTTGAGGAGTCTGAGATCAGGAGGATCAAGATTTGAGGCCAGCCTGGGCAAATACTTTGCAAGATCCATCTCCAAACTAATCAGAGCAAAATGGACTGGAGGTGTTGTTCAAGGGGTAGAGTGCTTGCTTTGCAAGCATGAAGCTCTGAGTTCAAATCCCAGTACCACCAAAAGAAAAGAAACAATAAATGCTGGACTGTCGGTGAGAATGTAAATTAGTGCTGTCACTATGGAAATCAATGTGAAGGATCCTCAGAATAAACACAGACTTCCCTATGACCCTGCCATCCACTCCTGGGCATGTATCCAAAGGAATGTAAGTCAGCATACAACAGAGACACCTGTATACCATGTCTATTACAGCTGTTCAGGACAACAAAACTATGGGATCGGCATATGTGCCCATCAACCAATAGAAAAAGAAAATGTGAGAGAAAGAGAAAGAGAGAGAGAGAGAGAGATACACACACATACCTAATGGAGTATTCAGCTATAAAGAAGAACGAAATGATGTTGTTGGCAGGTAAATGGATGGAACTGGCGATCAGCATGTTAAGTGAAATAAATCAGACTCAAAAAGACAAATACTGTATGTTTTCTCTCATATGTGGAATCTAGACCTTTTTAAAAAAATGACATGAATGTAAAAGAGAGAGTAGGGGGTCGCCAGCGAGAGAGGGAGAGTGAAAGGAGAAAGCAATGGATGGTGAACTTGATCAAAGTACATTATATGCATGTCACAATGAAATCTCACATTAAAACCTCTTTGTACAATGAATAATTTTAAAAAGAATATCTTTACTCTTGTATTAGAGAAGTGCTGAACACAAAAACTGAAATGGTCTCTAGAGTGCTGGTCTGGGGGCATGGCTCAAGTGGACAAACACCTGTCTAGCAAGCACAATGAGACCCTGAGTTCAAAACCCAATTACCACCAAAAAAAAAAAAAAAAGACAAAATACTGTCAAATGTTACAAAATGCTATTAATTCTTCAATGAACTAATATAATTACATTTTCCTTCTTGCACTATAGTTGTCTTCATTGTACTGATTTAAAGTCCTCTATCATTTTGTACCTTCTATTTTTTGTGTGTGTGTGTGATAGTGGGGTTTGAACTCAGGGCCTCATACTTGCTAGGCAGGTCCCCTACCATTTGAACCACTCCGTCAGACCTTTATTGTGTTGGGTTTTTTCCAAGACAGGGTCTTGTGAACTGTTTGCCCGGGCTGGCTTCGAACCAATATCCTCCTGAATAGCTAGAGTTACAGGTGTGAGCCACTGGCGCCCCTCTGTACCTTCTGTTTCTTGATAGTGAGCTTGGCAGAAGTTATAAAATCTGCAGTTTAGATTAGCTTGTTGGCAGTACCAGTAATGTTATGTTATGCACATTGCAGATCTTTCAGCAAAGAGTGCCTCAGTGCCAGATGAACTTGGTGCCTGTGGACATTCCAGAACGTCAAGCTATGCAAGCCAGCAGTCAAAAGTATCAGGTAGAGCTGCTAGTGAGCTCGAACTCCTTCCTGTTCTAAAAAGGGACTTGAAACAGCGATGGTGTGGGAGAAGAATGTTAGATTGCAATGTGTCTGACTCAAGGGGTTTTTCTCGGACAGGGTATAGCACGTGTCACTCCCGGTCATCTAGTTTCTCTGAGTTCTGCCACAGAAGAAACACATCAGTGGGAAGTACATCGACAGGAGTTGAAAGCATTCTGGAGCCTTGTGATGAAGTTGAGCAAAAACCAGCTGAATCAGATCTTGACACAGCTGATAAAGAAGATACAGCCTCTGAAAAGCTCAGCAGGTATCCTTCCTAGTTTAAAGGATAAATTTAATTTTTAAAAAAACTTCGTTTTCATAATATAGTTAATAAAAAGGAAGAAAAAACTCTGTGACTCTTTCCACAGATGCCCAGTGAAACAAGACTCTGTCGAATCTCAGCTGAAGCGAGTTGATGATACCAGAGTGGATGCTGATGACATTGTGGAGAAAATATTACAAAGTCAAGACTTCAGCCTAGATTCCAGCGCAGAAGGTGCGTGGAGAATTGCTTCATCCACATTTCTGTAATCCAGCTTTGTGTAACTTGTGTGGCCAGCAAGCAAAAGGCAGCGCATCGTGCTTTGGATGTGTTATTTGTAGAGTGAGTTTTACACCCATAAAAACTTCCAGTTACTTTTGTAGCTTGTTGATTTCTGAGGATTAATACTGAATTTGGAAAAAGAATAAACTTTGGTTAAAGAGATCAATTTAGCGGGGGAAGGGTGTTCAGTGTCAGAGCAAGTGCTTAGCATGGTGAGTTCAGTTCCCAGCACAGAGGGAAAAAGAGAGATCTATTTTAAAGAATGCTTTCATTGTCTTTTTTAATTACGCTGTGGTGCCTACTGTGTCCACATACCGTATCTGCATCTGTGTCTGTCATGGGGCTTCCAGTCGCTGTGACAGTTTATCGGGTTGGAGCTGTGACCTTGAACAAGAGTGAAGAACAAATCCTCAGTCCCTCCTCAATATTATCCCAGAAACTGAAAAGGTATATGCCACCAATCTGAAAAGCGCAGTTACTCACCCTGGTGTGAATAGAGAGCGATGGATTTAACTGGTTGTAGAGAGCAGTAACTGAGTCTTGTGAAAGTTTGTGAGAAGGGCTGTCTTCACTACTCAGGGAAAACAAGAAAGACCTTCAGGAAAGTTAATGAGAAAGATTGTGTGTTTTATAACCTGTATATCACTTTGATTTTTGAGTGTTTAGCTCTCTTTATAAACTCAGATGTAAAATATGAATTACTACAGTGTGCACGTTATGTGGTGGTAGTCTAATAATTGTACATAAAACAAGCATTTTAATGTGTCTTCCAGAAGAAGGACTGAGGTTATTCGTGGGTCCTGGGGGCAGTACAACCTTTGGCAGTCATCATCTTCCAAATAGGTAAGTCATCCAAAGAGTACCTTATTAATACTCTCCCTGCCCTGAGGCGGGTAGGATCTTGAAGGAAATGGCTTCAGGCAGCAAGCTGGGGCCACGGTGGGGCTTTCTTCATTGACTTCCCTGTTCTTGGAACCAGTCTTGCATTGCCTGCTGTCAGTGTTTGTAAACTGTCATCTCATGTATTCTATCCAGCTTCTGTGTATTTACGGCAAGAAGGGAAAGTCTAGCTCCTGTCATTGCATCATGACTAAAAAGCAGAACATACTTCAAAGAGCAACCAAAAGCTGGTGCAAGCAGAGCTCACCAAGGTCCCTTCACATTGGGTCGCCAGTATTGACGGGCTCTGTCAAGGATGTTCCTATTTCTTCCAAACAGTGCATCTGTAGGAACAGCTATGTCTGAGAAGTCAACTGAGAAGTTCATCCCAGTCCATGGTAGACTGGTAATGGCTACCTTACCTCCATCTTTTGGAATCTCCTCATTAGATCCCATTAAAGGACAAAACCAGTCATGGTGGTTGCTTCTGGGCTCACCAAACTCTGGCACGTTCAGAGTGAGACATCAGGTAGTAGGGCAGACCCTGACATCTTTGTAATGAGGAATGGGTACCTGGTGATCACTTTAAGCGGTAACACCTTCCCCTGCCAGGCAGCTCCAACGCTTCAGCTCTTCTGGTCGCTACTCAAGCTGCTTTGGGGAGAGGGTAAAATGATCCTCATCCAAAAATATAAAACCAGCTTCCACCTAAAAGATCCTGTGTGTTTTTATAGGCTTTAGAAAACCTTTCTGTACAGACAATAAAGGGAAGATGCATATTTGTTCCATTATAGCATGGAGCGAAGGTACTAAGTACATCAATGATAACAAGAAATCTGTTGATAAGGTCATTATTTAGCTAGCCTTTGTCAGAGTTACTGTACTCACAAAGCCCACCAGTTTTAAGTCTTTCAGTATTCTTTATACTTTATCAATAGAAATCAGTTGGTAGTAGCATATTGGGATAAAAGTTTAGCAGGTATAACAAAGAAACCCAAAAAATATAATGGCCAACTTGCTGATAAGACAGCTTTGTTCCAAAAGTTCATTTTGACCATTTTGTAACTTCACCATCTTCCTTGCCTTTATTGTCAAGTGAGACAGCTACTAGACCAGGGCAAGCAATTTTCTTTTTAGCAAGTGAGGCAGAAGTTGACACATCTTCCATTAGGTTCCCTAGGGAAAAACTTAGTTACATGGTCACTACCTAAAAGGAAGTTTAGGAAATGTCCTCAGCCAAG